ATCGCTCGTTCTTTCGATCTAACTCTCTTTCGCTTTTACAGGTCCTTCGGGACCTGCGAGAGGTTACAAAGTGGGCTGATCCTTGCGGAGCAAGATCGCAAGGGCGAAGCGCGACTTAGGCAACGCAAGCTAAGTTCGCATCTTTGCCACAAGGGTGACTCGCGTCTTAGGCAACGCAAGCTAAGATCGCGTCTTTGGCCGCAAGGGTGCCGCACGCCTTAGGCAATTCCAGCTAAGGTCGTGACAGTTCGTCGCTTTTACATGCTTATATAGAGACATGACATCATGTTTTGCTTTGGTTTTGTATGTTTTTGCTTGAAAAATATAAGCAACGACAGTTCACAGCATTGCAGTGCGACCGCTCGCCGTGCTGGGCCAAACTGCCCCAAAATAGCTCCATTTTCATGTGCCACGACCTGTTTTTTGCAAACCGCAACCTTATGTGAAACGTCAGCCATCTCAACACCCTGGAACCCCCTGGGTGGCACCAGGGGGGATGAGACTTCAAGGTAGTATCGAGTGTTGAACAATCTTCACAAGTTAACACGTTAACTTGACGAGAACTTGCCTTCGCGCTCGGCACCCGGTGAGTAGTTGTTTGTGGACTTGCAACTGTTCATTCTACCTTCTAAAGTCCTTGTTTTCACCTTCCTCTCTTTTCTCTCTTGTACTCAAGGTGCTCGCTGAATTGCTTATAAAGCTTCCCTCTTCACGAGACATCGAGACTTGTCCGTCGCTTATTTTCAATCTAATCAACTTTTTGTTTTACAGGTCCTTCGGGACCTGTACGAGGTTGCAACTAGGTTGACCCTTTGTGGACGCATATGTCGCAAGGGCGCCTCATAACTTAGGCAATCCCAGCTAAGTCTAAGGAGTTGGCGCAAGGGTGCTCCACGACTTAGGCAACTCTAGCTAAGTCCATGACTTTGCCGCAATGGTTCCTCATGACTTAGGCAATTCCAGCTAAGTCCGAGACAGCATGTCGACATTTACATAAAAATAAATGTCATATTTTAAGCAATTACACAAGGATTTTCCACATCTTAGGTTTTACACCAAAAAACAAAAATAGAAATTGGATTTTCTTAATGAAAGTTACCTTCCACTCTTAAGTAAAATCCATTCCAAAATAGACATAAACCTCAGTGACACTTAGCATGCATTTTTTTGTTATCATCACATGATTCCTCTATATGTAGACTATGCAAAGCATTAGAGTTTGCACAAGTAGTTCCAAATATGTTCATAATGTGAACTAAAGAAATCCTTAGAATAGTCAGTTCCATGGCCAAGGGCAAAACTTGGTACAATGGTAAGGCTACTCTTTTATGACCTGATGAAAGTTTGAGCTAAGGAAAAAGGGGTCTCCATTTGTAGGGTTAAGGCTGTATATATTGATTCCCGAAGTATTGATGAGACTCTCATGATTAAGAAAGATACCATGAAATACAAGTTCGAAGATTCACAGGCAGCCATGATCCGGGTACCTAGGAGTTGAAGGCCCATTGTTGATATGTTGTGGAAAGCCCATTGTTGCAATTCTTTTGGTGGTTAGCTAAATAGGACAAACAAGATTGTGAAAGGATCCATGAAAGCTGCCTCTCTACTTGCATAGGCAAGTCTATGTATATTGACCTTCCTCTATACCCGTATAGGCACGAGGTTCATACATATGGTTGTCCTTATGGTTGTGAAAAGGGGTTCCTTAGTTTTTGAGGTCTGGAGTACCTGCAAAGTTGAAACCCCTAGTGCTATCAAATAAGGCCCACGCCACTAGTGAGTCAAGATGAATACCCACGAGTCACTTGACCAACTTATCCTTGGGTTTATTGTATGTTCTGATACTAGTTCCACTACCATTGCAAGTGCTTGTATTACTGGATCTATCCAAGCTTACATTTGAAATGATAATGGCGTCAAGCAAACAAAGACCCAAGGGTAGTGAATGTCAAAAGACCATCACAAAGGCAGATTCCTTAGTCATGGTGTAAATCCCCAAAAACAGGAAGGAACCCATGGCACATTAGATCTTTTGTGAATCAGTTGATTATATTCTAATTTCTAACTTTTGCAACTTTGTACACAAAATTCATACATACAAAGTATACAATCTATGCATGAAAATTCATAGGTAGTTGATGATGCAAAAGGGCTGCTAATAAACTTGCTTATTGAAAAATTCTTTTGAACTAAACTAGTTATGATGACTATACATATCTTCTATATGAGCACAAGATGGGTACAAAAGTATGAAGTAGCAGCTTACCTGTAATGAGAAAAACATTCTGGCAGACCCAAAAGCCTTACCTGAAAGAACTGATTCCAGACACTGGTCTTCCCAAGGCTCAAAGGGTGCTCATCATGAGTTATTTCAGATCTCATCAGGAAGCCACGACCTCCAGTTTCCAATGCTTCATTTTTGTGGCCAACAGATTCTTCCAACCTTCGTGCCATTTCCGACTGACTAGCAAAAGCAATCTTTCAAAAATTATAGTATGCAACAATAGAAAACAAACACAAAAACAGCGGTAATTCCAAACTTCCTTCTGTAATCAGAAATTTTCATGAGCCATGTATGTCTCAAGTGTCAAGAAGTAAACCAGCAGACTAAAGGTCTATAGCTCCGAAGATATAAAATCTATAATTTTAGCAATCAAATAGTAAATCTAAAAACAGAATACTGAAGAAGACCAACAGGGTTCATTAAAAACTCCTCCTTAAAAGCCTTGTACTGAGACCGCTTCTTGGCCAGTTCTTGCATCCAGAACTCACGTTCATATGGCAAATAACCTAGTAGAAGCTGTCATCAACAAAAAAAAAAAAGATGTCACTTTCTAGCGCCAATTTCAAGAACAAGAAATTGAAGAGCTCGAATCCTTTTGAATGCATGACATAATCCATTGCCAACAAAGCAAACAAACAGTTTTTTGTTTTTTTCTTGATGAGAATAATAATGAGAATCATATAAGAATTGTATTCAATTCAAGGCAAAACAAGTGACATAAAAGGTTCGTATTCAAGAACCTCAGCTTTTTTCCATTGCCAACAAAGGGAGGCAAAAATTTTTAACCAAAATCTTATTTTCAAGGGCAATTAAGCAAATGAAATCATCAAACTCAGAACAGTGTTAACTAAGAACGTGACAGAAACATGGATTCTTTCGAGACCAAGACCTTCCACACTATCGACCGGATTCCAGTGCCATCAGGGATGCCCTGCGAGGCCAATCTCCGCAGTTCTCCAATATTTACCACCTTCTTCGACAACTGAACACGGATTCGTCAGCCATAAGCAAATCCTGAACACAAAAAATGGAACGGAAATAACGAGAAAATGACGTATTATACTTCGGCTAAGAGCTGGAACTGGCGGGAGACCTCCTCCTGCGACAACCGCGAGGGGCTCCGATCGTCTGGCGGAGCATCGACCGAGGGCCTCGGGGCCTCCGACGGAGGTTGAGGCGGCCGAGGGGGCGGTGGAGGCTCGGGGATCGGAGCCCGCGCGGGGGCTACGATCTTGGGAGAGGGCGGCGAGCGGGGCAAACGAGCAGCGGCGGTAGTGGAGGCAGAGGCGGGGGGCGAGGATGAGGAAGCCCAGAGCGAGCTGTTGAGCCACTCGGGCACGCCTTTGTTCCCCATTGCCTTGGCGTTGCCGGTGCCGGTGCCGTTTCCCGGCGCTTCGGCTTCCATCGGAGTTTCCCAAGCTCGCTCTACATACAGAACCAAGAGATCCAACTCGTCGCTATAAAGGCATCTTCGTAGACAAAAACTCACGGAATGTACGTGGCACCTTTTGATTTGATAAAAACACCCTATGCTGTTTCAAAACGAGGTAGGCGGAAATTATGTATGTGATCAAACCCCTAATCCAAAGTTAAATATTGTTAGTAATTAAAATTAATGATGTGTGGATAATAATTATTAAGTGGAAAAAAATTAAGACGATAGCCCAAATAAAATATCATTTTTACAAGTTCACATGAATATTGAGAGTCCTGATATGCTCCTAAATCCAATATGGTGGAAGAGGATAAGTCTTAGCTTAATTTAGATGGATGTGAATTTTGATTTAAGTAAGTGATGACTAAAAATGTATGAAAAGTACAAATAAATATATAAATAATGAAATATATACTGTGTGCATTTTAATATTTTGAATAAATCATACTACTACTTTTTGATGGTTTATTTCTCTTTCGTAATTAATAATCATATATTAAAATAAAAAATGTACATAATTGAAAATTCATTTTGCTAGTCGAATTAGAGAAATATAAACTCTAATTGTAACATCCAATTAGTCCCACATCCGAAAATGGGTAATGTGTATGATTGACTTATAAGGGTCTGATGAGTGTATTATTATCAATTTTAGCTTAAGCATTTTGATTAGTGGTTTAAACCAATCGAAATTGATAGACCAATTAGCCCAAGCTCAGGTCTTAATACTAATGCCTATGAAAATTTATTGATTTTCTAGTTTAATTTTCCCAATTGAATCATACAAGATGTGATATTATTTATTGGATGGTTTTCCAATATGCTAGCATATTTATTTGAATAAATCCTTATTAAATAAATTGAATCACAATTTATTACTTAGTAATAAAAATATAGTTTATCTTAAATTGAAATTTCTATTTAATCTCAATCTGTATTTATAATTAATTAAAGGAAATTTCTAAATATCATAAAACACAATTTATTTATTTTTATAAAATAGGAGATGAATCTATTATTAAATCATCTTCATATTAAAAATTTTATTAAAGCCTGATAATAATAATAAAAAAAAGCATTGTCATCAACCCAATTCACATATAGAGACAATAGATCAAATATATGAGATGAAGAAAGATATGGATTCCTAACTAAATAATAATATAAACCTTTTTTTTACTTAAATTACAATATAAATTAACCAAAATAAACAAGCAGAGTTTTTTTTTGGGATTGAAGTGGCTTTTGCTAATATTAAGAAATTGATGTTTCAGTTAATCCCAAAAGAGAACCTCCTTTTGATTGTTTTAATATGTCATTTAATTAAATTAAATTAAAAGCACAGCATTCAGTATAAGTTAATTTGGATTTAGTTTAAAATTTAACAATAATTGAAATTTTCAAACCTCAAGATAATTATTTTTCAGCAATTAATTTAACAATTAATGTTTTCACAAGATAATAAAACATTAATGTCAAGATAATTATTTTTCAGCAATTTTAATAATATTTTTTTTTTCCAAAAATTTAGGTCAAAAATATTTAGGTTAGTAATTAGTATAGTACGTGATGATGCATGGGAAGCGGTTTAGTTAAAGCATTCCGGCGGCACACCTGTCTTCCACTCTTCGCTTCTTTCTATTACCGGGAAGTCCCAAACCATTTGTTCTCATCCCATTCCTGTCACTTGCTACCCTTACCCGGCTCTCCGCCTCCCTTCAAACCCTAGCTCGCGATGTACGCCGATTTGGTCGCTGCCGGAAGGAAGAGGTCCATAAAGGACCGCCTCAACGGCGGCTCGGCGGAGGATCCCCGCCCGACCACGTCGCCGATCACCAAAAGGTGCTAGTTTTCCATCGCGAACTTGGTTTCCATCTTAATGCCTCTGTTGTTAACCCCGATGGAAATTTAGATCCAACGATGTTTATCGGTCAGTGGATTTCCGGTTGTGAAAATTAATTCTTTTTTCCTGTTATTGAGGTGTGAGGGATTGATTTCTTCCCCTCTATGTTTTACTTCAGGGATTCGAGAACATTTGTGCTGTTGTTGAAAGTATGTGGGTCTTAATTTTCTATCGGTATTAGGTTTAATTCGAGAAATTTGCGTATTTTGTTCATTTTTACGGGTAATGTGCTGTTCGAAATGGCATGCCTGAGTTTGTTGACTGATGATGTTTGTGCTACATGTTCAAATGGAAGAGATAGGAACTTCCATATTAGTTAAGGGAAATGTTATCAGGCTATTGCAGTCTAAAGGCCAGATCATGAAGCTAAAAAAGGTTTCTGGCAGTGAATGAGTTTTTTTATTTGGGATTTACAAGCTATCAAGCCACTGCTGTTGTGGTTGACAGCTTATTGCATGTGGAATTATGTTGCAGAATAAGTTAGTTGTTTATCCTCATGGTTTGGAAATTTTGGGGACTCAAAGATGACTTCAGTAAACCACACATGACTGTATCTCTGAGATTTTGCTCTCTATGTACTGTTTCCATTATAATTTCATGGTTAACAGGTCTGCAAAACTTGGCATTGATTTATGTTACCATGAGAAGTTATAATTACGGAAAACGTTAACTAACGCTATCAAGCTTCTTGATCGTATTGAAGTTGGCTCTCTGACTTTTAATTTATGCCCAAAGGACTTCCTTTGTATTTGCCTTTTTGCTTCTTTCTATAGCTTAAGGAACCTTAAGACTGTTGTAGATTTTCTTGCAATGGCGAGCTTTTTGCAAGTTTTGCAGGGAATAAAAACTGGAAGATGAGAGATGCTCACATAAAGCATGCTATTACGTTAGGCATCTTGATTTAGATAATAGTTTAAGATTCAAGCCATGAACATCGAAGTTGATTTTGAACTTTGAGACATTGATTAATTATGTTGGTTTCCTCAAGTTTGGCAAGCGTCCACCTCTATGAATATCATGATTTGCATGAAAAAGATCAAGTCGAGTCAATTGTACGTGGTAAGGAGTAGGTGAGGTTCAAATTTGACTTTGGATTGTGCCAGAGTGCGAACCTTTTCTATGAAAAGAATTGAGAATTGATGGTATGTTTTGGGATTAACTGATATATTCTTGCAACAATAAAGGAATCAGAGCTTTAAAATTTAAATCAAGATAAAGTTTCATTTATGTTCCGAGTCACACAATAGTTGATGACAACTCAAGCCTCATACTTTGAACTTGGTTTTGACCTTATTGGATGAATGGTTTGGTTAGATCTAGTTTTGGGTCGACTGATCCAGCTTGAAACTACTTCAAAATGTTTACAGCCAATCAATATAGAATTAGTTTACTTTAAAAGCTTTCAAAGTATTCCCTCATGTTTGAGGGAATTTCCTATGTGTATTTTGTAGTTTGTTCCCATCACTTTCCTCCTAAAAGATGAAATATAATGAATTTTCTTCAAAATATCATGTGGGCTAAAATGTAGGAAGCCTTTTCTAAATCAAGGTTAAAAGTTTCATCCCAGTTAGATTTTTGCTTATTCGTTAGATGTTCATTAGGGTTTCAAGGAACATGTCAAGGTCTACTCTCTTTACATAGTAAATTGCTGAATTTTGTGAAAGAAGATACACATATAAATTTTATTGCGTTTCTAAGTGTCTAAATCTGTTGTGTTTTATTGCAAACTACAGACCTGTATTCTATATAATGGACTAATGTTATTTTTTAGCTGGTTATGTTAGTATGTTTCTTATAATGAGAACATCTGGTATTGATGACTTTATTGTCCTCGTCATTGTTATCTATAGGCTTGAGTTCTAGTATCGTACTAGTTGTAGACTTGTAGTTGTTCTTAATATTGTCATGATGCAAGTTTTTTTTCCCCCTTTTTTTTCTGGTTTCCTTACTTTTCTTATATTTATTTTTTTATATCACTTAAAAAAATTATTGACACTTAAATGCAGTTGCAACATTATTATCCATTGATTGATTAAAATCGAAACCGAAAGTCTAAAACTACATATAGATGCCCTTATATGAGGTTCTACTCAGTCATTATAATAACTCAACAATAATTGTCTTGAAGTACAAGCAATCAAACTACAGATTGAAAAACTATGACTGGTTATAGATATGCAAGACTCTCTGCTGGACCATAAGCCTTCATCATCTTTTCAGTAGCTCGAGGTCTAGGCTCTATTATTGGATGCTCTTACTGATCTATGAGGTTTTTGTGCAGGCAACGCCAGACTGAAGGGATACTGAGATATGATACATTTAAGGATGATCAAACTGCGTCTTCAAGTATAAACGTAGCCGAAGACAGGAGTTTTTGATTGATGTTAAATTCTCTTATCAATTTATTCGATGCTTATCTGCATTAATCTTGGATTTTATGAATAAGACAAAGTTGATGCTGGAGATCTACGATGGAAGCTTCAAAGAAAAGGTCTGCAGCAAGGGACAGAATCAGCATCATGCCTTCGCGAGAAGCTATCTGGAACTGTGCACCAACAGCCAGTCAAAAGTCACAAGTTTTCCGGAACTATGCACCAACAGCCAGCCATTAGTGATCTGCCCAAAACGAAGGCAGTAAAAGAGATGGGTCGACCTGTTCAAAGGGGTGGCCCTTCATCAAAGGAAACTGTACCTGTAACCAAAAAGTTCCCTGGCCCAGTTGCTTCCAACAAAAGCTCACAGACAAAGGTAGACTTCTTCATTTTGCAGCTAAATGTTCTGTTCACAATCTTTGATACCATATAATATTCTTTCTTATTCTGGGAATCCATGTCCTTTCTCTTGTGGAATATCATTTTCATTTTTATGAGAATATATCAGAGTTGAATTCTATGCTTGCATTCGATTGCTGACACTTGCTGAATAACTGGATATGAAATTGATGTCCTTTTCATGTTGATGGTTTCCATGTAGGCTTGCATTTGATTTGTGACATATACTAAATATCTGGACATGAAATTGTTGCCCTTTGGTTATTTATAATTTCCTTTTGGAATTTTTTTCATCTCCATCTGTCTTTCTTATGATGAGTCTGCTTACTGTGGAATGTGACTTATTTTCCAGCTCTCCCCTTACTTATCTTAAACGTTTGCTTTTGCAGACTCTCCAATACCTACCTGTATCTTTACTTTAATTTTTATGTCTCTGCAGTCTGATATGTCAGTTGACAGTTTGCTGCAATCATTGGGTCTAGAGAAATATTTAATAACATTCAAGGCAGAAGAGGTATGCATACTTGTTTTATAATTGTTTTGCTGTACTGATGTATTGTTGACTTGTAAATACATCTTAACTTCTGGATTTGCAGGTTGATATGACAGCTCTTATACATATGACAGATGAGGATCTAAAGGCTATAGGTCTTCCAATGGTAATCTTTTAGTTGCTAAGTTTTAAAGAACCTTTCCAATTTCTATTTTACACGTTTCAACAATTCCACAATTCTTTCTTAGTTTAGGCTTCTCATTTCATTTTTTTTCCATGGGAATCAAAATCATTTTTTTCTGTTTTTCAGTAAATAATTATTCTAGTCTGTATAGTCCGAATAGTTTAATTTCTGTTGTTAGAATTTTGCATCAAAGTCACATATATTGCTGTTCACACAATTCTAATGTTTCTTGCTCAGTATATTCTTGATGTGTCCCTTCAAAAACACTAAATATCTTGTACACCATTCCAAAAAGTAAAATATTTTCAAACCCCTTTAAATCTCAAGATCTCCATACCATTATTGTTACCATGTTAGATTATTAGTCCTTACTTAAGCCATATTTCGACCCTAGTTAACCTTTCGAATTGATATCGTCTTCACTTTCTTCTCCCTCCTCCCTTCACCTTGTTCAACTGGCCAGGGCCCATGTCTAGTCCTCGGCCACCACCTCCTTGTTAGATGCCACTACCACCACTTTCCTTTATCTTCCTCTCCACAGATTTGGCTTCTGCCCCCTTGGTGGAACCCATCCTATCAAGTATCTTCCTTCTTTCTCACACCCCCCCTCCCTTTCCCACCTTCGTCTTGTTTCTCTTCAAGTCTCTCCTGAATCCTAACCTCGGGCAGTGAATCCACATTATGTTGGATCTGAGCTTCCTCATCAAGAAACATCTAATTTCTTCTTTGCAGCCGTGATGATAGATTTTAGGCTAGTAGCCATTGGATCAAGGTTCCTTCGCCATGGAAATCCACCATCTAACTCCTCCATTATTGTTGCAGGGACAGTAATCTACTGTGCCTTATCTAACTATGCAGACATTGCTTGGTCCCCATAATTCAGCCAATCAAATGTTGTATGCCTCATTTTGACTTGCTCCACAAACAATGCCGTTGTCTTGGGTGCATTGGTGTGATTGCACGTGTCGGTCCAGCGGTCCTTTACCTCAATTTGGTTGACCATCTAACTCATCATCACAATTGTGGTTGTCAACAAGCACAAGTGAATTGGATCTCAAGATGCTTTAGACCATCAATAATTTGGGTTGATGGTGCTTGGTAGCCAGAGCTTCAGACCAACTAGGGCGGCCAGCAAAAGATGAAATTCTAGTGTTCATTTTAATGTTTTTTTTTTCCTATTTAGTTTATGCAAGAATAAATTGATCATTTATGGTGTACTACAGAGTTACATCCTAGTATAAACCTAGACTGATTAACTGATTTGATTTACCTAGCTTTAATTGGATTTATGGTAGTACATAAACCTAACTATAATTCCATTTACCTGGCCCTCTTAATAGTTTTTATGTCTTTTGTTCCTTTTTCTTGTTTTTACATTTGTTCTAATTTAAGTCATTCCATGGTGATTGCTTTTGGACTTTGTAACACCATCAATTCACATGCTTTTACTTCACCATTTTTGCTTTTTTTTTCCTGAAAAAAATGCGGTAAATTTTCCACAAAACATTCTGTGACCATCTGTTCTTCCAAATTGTCTGCATATTTGTCTTTAGACTTCATATCTCATGTGGTTGATGCACTTGTCTGCAGGGTCCTAGAAAAAAGATACTGTTGGCTTTAAAATCCAGATCTTAGATTGGTGGTAAGCAATGGACAATGGATTTCATCATCTGCAACGAAATAGATGACTGCTGAAATGGGAAATGTTCTCGTCCTTATCAAGCCTGGAATGGAGCTTTTGGAGCTTTTGTGGCTGCCGTAGGTGAACATACTGATACTTTCCACCTGATCTCTGGCAATCTGCTAACTGATTTTTGCTGGAAGAAAAATCCAAATCATTCTTAGATTGTGATGTTGAGTAGGATTTCTTTCTTTCTGTTAATCGTCCTTTCTTCAAGTTGTATGTTATGGATTAGCAGAACAAGTTTGCAGTGAGGGGAATGGATATAATCATTGGTTAGCCGGTGGATCATCATCAACTTCAATATGAACCCTAGTTGCAAATTTCCATGCTCCATCATCTCTATGGATGCTTGCTTCAACTTGGGATCAACATGTACATTGATCGTCAAGAGGTAAGGATTTAAATCTCAATCCAATATTACTTTCTAATTATCTATCGAATTGGGTACAGTGATATATACCGAAGGAACGATATATATCGTCGTCCTGTACAACTCAATATCTTTTAGTAGAACAATAGAAGATAAAACTAAATGGTATTGTGCTGGTATTAAGTCATGTTTTGATAACGGAGTTGGTGGGATCGATAAATACTGAGATTTGAAACGATTAAGATACAAAAGTGGTCTCAAACATCCAAGGCTTAAATATTTTTTGTGTTGTGTGTAATAATCGGACTTATTTCTGACATGGGCATAAGATTACTCCATATTTCTCACTGCCTGCAGGAATCGCATGCATGTAACCTCTATAGTTTGCTCAAGCCTTGCGCCATTGTTTCTTCTCTATTCTACCATGCATATATGCTTATGGTATCCACGATCATGTGGACTATGGTCACACGAAGTGCATCCTAAGAGACCAACGATGAACATCGTGCGGGCAAAACTAAATCATTGTTACCCCTTTGCCCTCTCTTTTTAAATCTCTTACAACTGCTAAAATTTGATCGATCATTTGATTTGGCACATCGACTTAGATCGGTATCGAAAGATGATACGTATCGTATCTTTAAAAAGTTTTAAAAATAAAATAAATATTGCTTGGTATAACGTCCATAAATATTGCTTGGTATAACGTCCATATCGCTCGACTGATATCGACAATGTGTACTATCCGATAGAACAGCCATATCGCTCGACTGATATCGACAATGTGTACCATCCGATTTATACTGTTCTATGTGTCACGATTGGTAAATATCATTTAATTATATATTCATCTGAAGATGTCAATTACATAAGCTGATTAGAAATCTTGGTGATTGATATTAAAGTCTTAGATTCGATATTTATCTTTATCAAATTACTTATCCTCATTAAACCCTAAAGACTCAAACACCGAATGAGTAGATTATTTATAATCTTATTTTTTTAAAAAATTAACACTTCTTATTGAAGGATGACATTTAAATAATCTTATTTTTTTTAAAAATTAACACTTCTTAGGATGACATCGAGAGGGTGATGAATCGGGTTGGACGATATTAGGCAACAACAGCAATGATAGTGAGTAATGTCGACAGCAAGGATAAAATAAAGGGTTGTGAAAAATAAAATAAAATCGATTATACGAAGATTGTTAATAATAAAATAATATTTTAGTATATTTTAAAATATTGTAAATAGTTAAAAAAAAGATTGTGAATAGTTAACTTCTAAAAAAAAAATTAATCGCATATTGAACAATGTGTCTGGTTATGATGGGGCCATCAGCTGACAAACAAGATTTACTAATAACCAATAGTTAAGAAAAAGGGAAAAAGAGAAAAGAAAAGAAAATTGAGTATGAAACAGTCAAAGATATATCTCTTGAGTTTTAGTAACATTTAGAACTGAGGTATACAAGGTATCTAATTGTCACAACAGGAACAACTCAGCTTGGGTGCATCCAAAGGCTTAAATTCATCCACACAAGATGTATAGAACAATTGAATAAATCAGATTTGTGAAGCTATATTTTCCCTATAACACCAAATCCACACTGCTTTTCACCCATCAGATCTGAACATAATATGCACATACAAACCTCAAATATAACTCTGTATCGGCCCGCAACAGTCAAGCTTTTAATCAGATTGAAGGTGGGTGGTGGGTCTCTTGTAAGTTCATCGGCAAACGAGTGTTCAGAACATCCATCTCGGAGACATTTGAACAGCATTTTGACAGGGTCTCCTTGGGTTCTCCGAGCCGTTCCGCTTCTTCATGCTTGACGAGACGGTCGAACTGTAATAATCGTGGCTCTTTCGGGGCAATGCCAAGGTCTGTGAGCACGTCTTCCTTGCAGGAATTGAGGTGTGCTGCTTCCGCAAGACTGCTTCCCGTGCTGTTGAAGGCCCCTGAGACGATGTCCATCTGCTGTAGCTCACACAGCTGTGGCTCCTGCCTACCTGTTGAAGCTTGGCTTTCCTGGGGCTCGGAATGTTTCTGCTCTCCATTGTCTCGGCCGAGTACATTGTCTGCTCCATGCTGCTACAACCATGATCCTCATTCTGCAACTCTGATATCTCCAGTGGAGATGAACTGGACTGTACGCTGTAGTGATCCTCTTGCCAAGTACCAACTGGGGGAAGCTTATACGCTGCTTCCCAACTGGCTTGTGGTGCATCATTTGCTGAAAATCCATTTTCTCTTGATATCTTTTCGGTTGCAGGCCCTCGCATATTATTTCCATCAGAGAGCAATGGTTTACGAGGCAGAGACAAAAATATAGATCTTGGGGCCTTTGGAGGGAAATTAATGTCCAGGAGCTGGATCGGGGCATGTTCCTTCTTCTGAGGTGGGTCAGAGATGAGTTTTGGTGACTCAAAAATCTCTGGAGTTGGAATCCCCTGCTCATGGTTGCAGTGTAAATTAACGACTGGCTCTTCATCATGGGAAAATATTGCGTTTGAATTAGAGGAGCAGCTCGGTCCAAGTTGATATTTAGATCTTCGATCTACAGGTGACGATGATGAGTCATCATGATTTAGCTCCTCCGAAGCCTTCAAGAACCGCCGAAGGGTGAAAGAAGCACAAGAATGATCATTCTTCTGTCCCGTTGACATCAATCGAATTATAGATAACTTGGGCTTGCTAACCTCATCCAAGCTCCCTTCCCAGTGCTGATGTAACCAATCAACGATAACTGAAATGGGGATCCCAAACTGCATAGGAGCGTCCTTCTTCCATGTCAAAGACGATGAAGAGGATGCAGAAGATCTTCCGGTGGGAGATGATGCAAGTTTCATAGGATCACATACCATAAAAGCTAAATTTCCTTGAAAATCAAAACCAGCTGATCCAGGGCACCATGTCACACCATCCGTCGACAACTTTATGAGGTTGTCGGTGGCTATTACTACTTTTCCCTCACCAACTGTCAGCTCCTTTCCATCCGTGTGGCCTAAAACATAAACTAAATTACCCAAATCAAGATTAGGGTGGCAGCAGGTCTTCAAGTAATGCGGCTGCTGCACCTGCGAAGCTGAGTCACCATCCAGAATATCAAGCCCCACTATAGAGAGGTCGAGGATGGAACTTGTTATGAAAAATCTGAGACAAAAATTCAAAACATAAGTTGATGGTAGAATCGAGTTAACCAAAGAATGTGAACACACCCTCTCGTTGAACAAAATGGCAAATTACAAATGCTTAATGTACAACATATGTATTTAATGCCGAAAACGATATCAACAGAGAACGACACCAATCAAAAACTCAATTTGTTATATAGGTTTATGATGATAAGGCAATTATTGAATCAGCACATTTTTGTAACCCATGTGACACAGTACCTTCATGCCTAAATCCATGGATTGTCACATCATGTACCTACATTTTGTTGGTTGACCTCCATTATTGGAGTACTACATTGGCCCTACCATTGTAATGTAATTTAGTGTTTAGTTTAACCAAACAAAGTCTGATATAAGAGAGAAAGAACTTTTAATCTAGTCAGAGCTTATCATGAATCATCTCTGCTTGCTACATCTCTTATGACTAGGATGCAGGCGGAAAGTAAAGAGACCTTGGTTACCACTCATCCATGTTCCAACTCAAGCTAGAAAGAGGAACAAGTGAACCAACCTCATGCATACATCTCTTTACTATCTTCTTTGCCCCTGGCCTTTCTGTGCTCTTATTTTCATGTTTTCTTGACTGCAAGTTTTCCTTTTTTCTGTGGTGAATGGAATTTCTGATCCATCTTTTCCTAAATAATTCCCCTTGGGGGATGAGACGACTAATACAAATATGACAACATTACATCCCCAGTCATAAGCAAGAGGTTCACCTAATAAACATTCATTCAAATCAAGAAATTCCAGGAAATACTACCCAAGTTGGTGCTAATCTTGATGATTGGACACCTTGTTCCTCTCTATTTAATGTGCAACAATCTTTCTACTAAAAACAGTTAGTTAATGTGCTCCAAGAATTCAAAGGGGACAGAATGACTTTCATATACTCCTGCTTGAAAATTTGGTGAAAAATCAAACTGAATCAAATAGTACAACACTACAGCTATCGTGTAGGGTCATGGAGGTATATGTTAGTGCAGCTGTCTTGCACTTTGACTTTGCAAGATATAAAGACATAAAGAATATCTTTCCTGAGTTTGCAATAGAAAAGTTGTTTCTGACAAGCATCTTGTATCTGAGAGAGGTTAAACATGAACTCAACTTTGCAAAGACCAATTAAATCTAAGATTTCACTCCAACTATCCTAAAAGAAAAAAAGTGCTTATCGGACTCCAATGCTTTATAGGTTACATGCTAGTTTTGATAGAAGTAAACATCTTGCATTAGGATCAGTTTGTGAGACTGTCATAATCTGTACTGAAATTCATAAGGGTAGTAACTGCCCTTGATTCGAGGGATAATAAAACAAAGCTCCAGCACCAGAGCGCTCCATTACATAAAAATCAGGCCGATCAAGTCATCTATGTTTTCTACAGATCGCTACTCACAACGATCGGACAAGGTAAAGCAAGTACATTGAAGAGCAGATTTCAAGTTACTACATCTGTGGCCAGCACATAAGAAGATAGAGGAAGACAAAGATCTCTGCAATTAGATAACGGTGACAAATATACAAGCAAGACCAAAGAAAACAATGGTTTCACACTATAGTTGAATCATCAGTTCGAAGGCATGTTTAAATAATAGATGTAAACTATCATTTCACTTCCTCATAAAAGAAACATCCTTCCCCAATACTTTTCAATGCTGGAATTTTGTATGGTCTCCAATCCTCACTCAAGTCCAGCTGACAGACGAAAAAAGGACTCCAACTAATTGGCCAGTCAAAATAAGCTTCTATGACCCTCTTCTAAATAGAATTATGGATCTTGGGAGAACAATACATGACCACAACCACAGTGGCATGATTTCATTTCACCTATTTCCACATCTACCTGCAATTCAATGCCCACAGTCCCAATCCCAAGCCCTAAGTAAAGATGATGCTTTTAGCATACATAATATAGAGAACGTTAAAACCAACTACTTTTCCGTTAGGAAAAAGAATCCAAAAAAATGCATGCGAAAAATAGGGGCATGAAAAGAGAACCCAAACTCAAAGAGGTGTAAAATGAATTTGCTGAGCAAGGGTTAGTAACCGACCTCTGCGGAACAAGGCGGGCAGGGAGGCGGCCATGGCAGAGGCGGATCTCAGCGGCCTCGGCGACGGGAGCAGAAGGGAGGTTGGCATGAGTTGTGAGGAGGAGGTTGCGGTGGATGAGGAACCCGGTGCCCAAGCCACCACCGCCACTCCCGCCTTCGGCGACCGAGATGGCGGCCAAGGCGGGACCTTTGGAAGAAACAATGCCATCTTTCACCCTCTCCGACCTCCCCACGCCCGAGCAGAAGCACCACCTCGACCCCTCTCCCAGAACTCCCATCTCCACTCCCCCCTCCCCCCTCTCTCTTCTCTACTCTTCTTCGCTCCAATCGAAGCAAGAAAGGAAGAAAGGAAACGCCCAATGCAGCGCCTATGCGGAGCTCAGACGATCCTGTAGCGGATTCCAGCGCGTCGCCGGTGTCGGCGTACCGGGGCTCCGGCAGAGAGATCTAGCGCAGGAGGTGGTGGTACTCTTCTCTCTCTCTCTCTCTCTGTGGTATGGTATGGTATGGTAAATAAGGCAAGGACTGATGCTCACACCTCCTTTTTCTCTAAATGCACACCTTTCTCGCTGTGGTGAAAGTAGAGAGACAAGAAAGGCGTCTTAGAGAAGTAATGGGGTGGTGATATCGGGATGGATTTAGTGCATGAAAAAAATGAAATCTGGGTCAGAATTTGTCTCAGTATTCATGTCGTGTTGTACTATCACCACACCAACATCTGCTGTGGAATGTGAAGTTTGTATTTAGTGCATGTGAAGGTTTTGCTTCGAAGTGGAAGGACGGATTAGGGATTGTGGAAACAAAAATATTTAATTAAAATAAAATAGATCGAAAATCTCGTTTCTTCTCGTATCGTCGTCGACTTTATTGACGTATTGACTAAAAAGAAACAGAGTTAAATATTTTATTTTCGTAAGTATAAAAATCTTAATATAATTTTTAAAAATATATTGATCAAAATATTAAGTATAACTAATTACAGAGGATAATTTATAATTAACTCAAATTTTGTTAACTTATTCTTATGAGATTATGATTTTTCAACTCCTAATCCATGTGGGATCCATCAACCCTACAAATTATATAACTTAATATTAATCCATTTTTCATATGATAATCGTTGAATCTCGTATTTTGATGATGAAACCACTTGATATGTGTTTATGATTTAATCTACGTTTTGAGTGACGTAGGATACTTCGATCATGATAAGATAATTAAAGTAGAAAAATCATGTTGCGCCGGAGGAACATGTCAAAAGATTGGACGTCAGGCCAATGGATCGGTTGACATATCGACAGAAGACTTCGGGCCGTGGATTCGAGTATCGGGCCAAGAAGAGCGGAGATTGTGCAAAGGAGATCGGAGTTACGGAGTCAACTGTCCGATTGGGCAATAGGCCGCAAGAGAGGACGATGTGCCAAAGAATCGGATGAAGCGTCGAGGGACCAATGACATACCGGACAACTTGATTAATTGCTTAGGATTAATTGTCTCGATCAAAGTTTTATTTTAAGTATGCATGATTAACTACGATAGCTTGAAGACATAAAGCAAGTCTACCGGAGTCAAGTTTGATGGGTGTTCGAGAGTCCGTCGAGAGTCCGAAGATTCGTCGGAAGTGCTGCTGGAACCAACCGAGAAGAAATCGAGGACTTACCGAAGTTTTCGGAAGTCCACCGGAGAGATTGTCGGAGGTTCGCAGAGAAGGTTCGGCTACTTGCCAAATACTCGCTGAACTCGCCACAAGACCGGGAGCCTGCTAGGAGTCCGTCGGAAGAAATCCGAGGGTGTATCGGAAGTTCGCCGGAAGTTTACCGAAAAGCTCGTTGGAAGGAAACTTGACGTTGCCGGTTAAAAACTTGCTTAGGACTATGTCTTAATTTCGTAGTTTGTATGTAATTAGGGTTAGGATTAAGGGTTAATCTTATAACCCGGTTAGGGGCCAATTTGGCCCAAGTTCGGACTAGTTTGGGCCAAGTTTGGAGCCCAACCAGTGAGCTGAAATAGTCTAGGCGGTGGCACCGCTAGATTGGGCGGTGGCACTGCCCAGCACCCGAAAGGTCTGGCGGTGTCACCGTCGAACTGGGCAGTGGCACCGCCGGAATGGGCGGTGGCACCGCCGATACACTATCAGTGTCAGACACTGATAGGCGGTGGCACCACCAACATCGGGAACCCAAGATTCAAAATTTGGAGCCCAAATTTGAATCCTCTTAGGGTTTATAAATACCCCTCAATTCTCAACAGAGAATACAACATTTGAGAAGTTAGAGATTGAGATAAAGCCTTAGTAAAGTCTTTAGCAAGTCTTATTTTCAATTGCTTGAGTGTTCACCTCCCTCTTTCTCTTTGAAAATCTGTAAAATATGTGAGTGCGTTGTGAGTGTTTACCTTTCTTAAACCGTTATTTACATAGCAGCAAGCTTTCGGTTTTTATCTTCTCACTTTACTCAAACTACTTTCATCAAGTCATTTATTGTCGAATCAAAATCTCTATGCATTTACGAAATCGTTTTCAAACTTAAAAGTTTTAATTCGCTACACTAATTCACCCCCTCCCCTCTTAGTGTCGCTCCGATCCTAACAATAATAACAATAACAATAAAATTTGCAATGTCCTGAATTTACTTATCGTTAGTGAGCTCACCAAAATCAATATTGTCTCATATTTGGTACAATCAGGTATCCGAGTAGAGTTATTTGATACAGATGTGCGAGAGAAGGTATAGTTTAACACCGGTGACAGGATCAAGACAATTGTAAATTTCCATCTGCAGATCAAGCTCAAATACAAAAATGGATAGATGCACTCCGAGTGAATCTGGACTCTCAACATACACTCTTTGTCATTCCACCAATAACATACAAGCACATCAAAGTCCAGAACAAAGAATCACAACGTAGGATGTCTCCACAATGTACTAGGAACCATCATCTTCCTATAAATCTCATGATGTTCTCTCTCTTTCTCTGCAATTGTTGCATGGCTTTCAATGAAGTAGTCTCAAGAACAATTTGCAAATGATGTTGCTTGGCTGGTGAGGGAGTTGTATTCCCAGAGGATCTGAGCGTTAAGGTGTTGCTTGACACTAATATTGATCAAAGAAGGAAAGAAGAAATGATAGTCTGTGCTGCTGTGAATGCTATAAGTTGTTTGGAGGTGTAGGTTCTGAGGGCGGCTTCACTCCCATGTCCATTGTCTTGTGCAGAAGGAAAGTCCCAGAGAGTATTGTGATGAACCCGCAAATCTCTGTTACTATCTGTGAAGCATTCTGTGAGTCCCAATCCTGGTTCATACCATCAATGTTGAAGTTAAAATCAACACTCGAGACTTGGTATTTGACTCAAAGACAGGCTTCTTAGAAGTTTGGGCCAGACAGCAGTAAATGCAGGGAATCACATTAGCTGACAATGATTTAGGAAACATATACATAAAGAAAATATACAGAAATCATCCTTAGACAAAGCAAACATCCTCATCATGTATATTATTTCATAATCAGCAGTTGTTCATTAAAAAATTTGTCTTCCTTTGGTGTAGAAGGAAGCAAAAACCCTTTCAGTTGAAAAAGACACTTGTAAATTGGGAAAGCCAAAACAATTTCTTTTAAATGTGCAGAAAAAAGAAAGATAATGCGTTTAGTAGAGCTTTAGTCTTCGCATTTTAGTGCATCGAAACTCAAAATGATTGATGTTTAACTTTTATTTGCCTGAATGGTAAATAGACCATTCAGAAGTATGCAAGTGAGAGAAAGGAACAATTTTGAAATTGATGAGGCAGCATTAGTGATTAGTTATGGTAGTATGTTGTGATGGTGGCTGCAGCACTTAACACAGTGATAAGATTAATATTCTTGCCAAAAAGAGCAGAAGAGCAAACTTTTGGAGGTGTAGGCATGTAGCTAAATTTTTTATATTGCAAGATTGTTTTCTACCACCATATACAAGTTTAAGTTTGGCAGATGATCTTAGATGTTCTAAGCTTCATTTTGTTTCTAAAGTAACAAGCAGCAATCAAGGATCCTAGCAATAAGTTTACCAGTGTTTAAAACTATGCTCCATAGAGATCAAATGCAGCAAAAGTTTGACCTGTGTCAGCAGAGACAAGCCACAGATATTGAAAAATGAACTGAGAAGGGATCAATGGTCTTTCCACATTAGAAAATACAAATGCTTTTGTCTCAAACTCAGAAGGCACAAGAAAATTAGGAAAACAATGACAAACATAAAACAGAGAGTAAAAGATTACCTTGAACATGATCATGCTAGCAAATATGGTGAGAGAAGTGAACATTACATAGTAAACCGGGGATATGACAGCAGTATTAAAGGTGTCAAGTGCCTGCACAGATGAACCCGAACTTGAAATAAGAACAACTGTGTCTTGGTGCCAAATTTGAGTATTGAAAGCACCGGCCTAGATATTTGTATAATTCTACCAAAATGAAATACCTATCTCTTTATTGATTTGATAGTCTATCATCTCTAGACTAGAGAACTTGGTACGAATACAAAAGCATACAGCATCAAAAGTCAATTTTATATGTAATCAAACTATTTACTATTGACTTCATGAGCCCATCAAAGTACAAATTCTATTTGATCCATACTTAAGCAGAGACACATTTAGAAATCATAGTGCAGATAAAGTTCGAGCAAGTAGCGAGGAAACTTCGCAATCTTGCAATGGCAAAGCATCATGGAGAATCGAGCAAGATGGGGCTAGTCGAACCATTGCCCCAAGCAACCGCAGGTGGGCTGCAAGTGCAAACTCACTCTCATGCTGTTGGAGCCACTCAAGAGGAGCACGACAGCAAACATGATGAGCGAGAAGTTGGCTACTCTCCGCGAACGGAGGAGACGTAATCTGGAGCGTCAATCGAGAAAAAGAGCCATAAGGAGAGACTCACAACGGTGGAAACCCACCTAAATGTTCTTGAAGCAAGCTTGGAGGAACTCTACTAAGGCCAACGAAGGCTTCTTGGGATAAAGAGCTCGCAAGAAGAAGCTGAATCTCGAATCGACAAGGTTGAGTCCCTAGTCAATCGATTGACGGAAGACACCAAAGACTCCATATAACATTTGCACGAAGTTGTGGTAGAACTCACTTCCAGAGCGACATTACTCATAAGGGCACTAAATATAGGAGGGAGCAACACCTACGTTGTGCCGTCACAAAACTTGAGGGCACCTGAGTCTCATTGCTATAAGGGTGCTAGGGATGCAAAGGAGCTTAATAATTTCTTGTTTGACATGGAGCAATATTTTCGAGCTACAAGGTCCGATCCTAAAGATTCCAAAGTTTCGATAGCAACCACATATCTGAATAGGGATACAAAACTTTAGTGGTGAACCCGTTCGGAGAATATCCAACAAGGTCAGTGTCGACCGAACACATGGGAGGACTTGAAGCAGGAGTTGAGAACTCAGTTCCTACCTGAGAACATAAAGTTCATTGCAAGGAGGAAGCTGAGATAACTCCGCCAAAGCACTTCC